ATCACAAATGAACTTTCCCAGGCCCTCTGTGCCCTACACTTTGTCTGTACCATAACCTCTCATTTATCAAGAAGCCAAACAATCTAAACATCAACAACCAGGATATTTTAACATTCAGAGCTGACCCTGAGACGCTACAGGATCCAATGAGATTTCTGAATCATAAAAGATAGATTGAACTACATGTCGGCATGGCATGTGTATTTTATTGTATTCTAAACTTATTTGAAAAATTTATGATGAGTATTTGGCAGTACTTCTCCATGTGTGTTCCAACAGGTTTTACACAATAAAAAGGCTCTATCGTCAGAGCTGAAAAATGTTGCTTCTTCCTGCTCAATGTTCGTCCCTCCCTTCCCTGGAAACTATACCTCAGTTTTCCTTTGGGTACCCACCCCACCCCTTCAGCCCTCATGCAGTTCATGTAGTTCACACGAGATTGACCCCACACATACACACTGCTCCGTCCAGGGGTGGACCCCAATTCAAGCCTGTATGATTAGTATTTTCTATTGCTTCAATGATCAGCTCAGGGATCCCCATAAAACTCAAGCCAGGCAAGACTCAATTCAGGGATTTTTACTGGAACCACCGGGAAGCAGAGGCCCTTTTCTCTCCGTTGGGATTGCTAGCTAAAAGGATGCTGTAAGGCCTGTGTAAGAGGGCAATGCAGAAGAAAACGAAGCCAAAACATGAAGACCAAGACCTCATTATATCACTGAAGCCCCTGGTTCCAACTATGCCTAAAGTCAACAGAGAAAGCCCTAGACTGTATAACTGCCTGAACCAATAAATTATCTTTTTTGCTTAAGCACTTGTAATGGCAAGAATGCTGATTCATACACTGGGTCATACAAAGTTAAACAAGATTTCTTTACTATAGGGCTTCACAGAGCCTTCAAAATATTAACATGCATTATGACTCTCCAACAGGGAGATATAATATACAGCACTCCTCAAACTTACATGTCCAGTGAATTTTTTTTTTTGGAAGACTGTATCATTGGACTTGTATTCCATAGACAACACCTTGGGAAAGGCTAATACATATTACCTATAGGTTAACCAAGTATTAAAATACTACAAATCCCTATTCCCTTATTATTCTGGATAAATGAGACAAATGGGAATTCATTTATCCAACACTGTTGATGCATTTATCCAGACTTTAGAAGATGTATGTATATAATTTTTTCTTCTTTTTTGCTAAATTGGGGTCATAAGCACAAATCATGGTATATTTTTCCAGACTTAATAAAATATGTGTATATATACAGTCGTTTTTTATTATTATACTGGGGTCATAATTCCCGAGCGGCTATACTTTTGAGTTCTGCATTTTAAAATATTTTGGCCCTCTAGTCTCACTGCCAAGTTATCAGCTGTCACTCTGCTTTGTTTAAAAGTGTCTACCTCTAGCAGCAGCCCCTAGTGTTCTGCTGTAAGCTAGTAAACAAAATGAAAGAAACTCATTGGAACTGTGTTTAAAAACAGAAGTCGGGGACGGGGGCAGTATGCTGACAGTGAGAGCCAGGGTAGGAGTATGTCCTGAGTAGAGTACCTCAGTTTCTGTACATGAAATCTATGTCGATGTGTCGATGATTTTGGCAATTTAAAAGCCACTTATTTCCAGGTTCCTGCCTTGGTTTTGGACAGCTAAAGTTTCCAAATAACTGACCTTCAAATATGGGAATTGTTATACTACTTAGCCAAGAAAAGAACCACTCCAACTTGATAGTAAGCACTGAACTCTGCTTAGGAACTTTAAAATGAAAAATTCTTTATTTAAGGCCAGGAGCGTCCATAGTCCAAAAATTCCATTTCCTCATAAGTCATCCATTGGCACAGAAGTCAAATTTCAGTCATTTTTCAGGCGTTTTTTTTCTGCCTATAACTCTCAAGTCACTGATTGCCCGTTTAAAGGGTATTTGCGGGCTCCCCTGTTTTATGATCTTATAATAAAAGACATGGGGATTTGAGACAACAGAGAGATAACTAAACTCCCTTCTTGTCGTTGTAAGTATAGCCTTGGCCCTAAGCAGGTAGGCAGAGCAGAGGCAGAGGCAGACAGGCTGGTCTGGGCAACAAGGCCCATGAAAATCAGTGTTAGATTCAATGACAGCAGTGGAAACTCCTGAGTCTTTTTCATTTGCATCAAGCTGGGTTTGCAGCCACATTTAGAGGCTTGACAAGGAAAATGCATCAGGATTTCTCATGTAAGTATCTAAGGATCCAAAGGCTTCAAGAACCAGGGCACCTGCAGCCCAGTAGTGTGGCTGAAAGAGGAGCCCAGCCTTGCATTGCCCTGATGCTTTTTCCAGATTCCAGAGCACATGTTCTGGAAGGGTCACAGGCTCCTGGGCTACTGTTGCACCCTCAAAGTGGGGAGGAGCCAAGCACCTGCTCAGACAGCCATGTGCAATTCTGAACCTGCTCTGCCAAAGAAAACACCCCTGTCTGCCCCAGCCCCAGCATTTATGTTCAGAAAGGCCTCTGTCTTCCCACTTCCAGGGCTGCTGACCAGATGTGGATCTGGGTGAAGGCGGGGCAGGTCTGAGGAACCAGGAGGCCATTAATCTGCAATTAGGACTGTGCACACCACCGCCTGCTCCACCTACTTCCTCTTGACAACTGCACAGCTAAAAAGCACTTTTAGAGGAAATGGATCCCTCAGTTCATCTTCTGGATGAGTCATTTTGGTCATTTTGGAAAGAGTTTTTGTGCAGATCTCATTGCCCTGGGGCAGTTAGCTCCACTCAGAGGCCGAGGTCAGGAGATCAAGACCATCCTGGCTAACACAGTGAAACCCCATCTCTACTAAAAAAGAAATACAAAAAAGTAGCCAGGCGTGGTGGCGGGTGCCTGTAGTTCCAGCTACTTGGGAGGCTGAGGCAAGAGAATGGGAGGTGGAGCTTGCAGTGAGCCGAGATCGCACCACTGCACTCCAGCCTGGGCGACAGAGCGAGACCCCACTAAAAAAAAAAAAAAAAAAAAAAAAAAGCAGAAAAAGGAGGAGGAGGAGGGTCTTATTCTCAAAATCTACGTTACTTCATTTCAATTTTAGGGCAATGAGACTATAATGAAAAGGCAGTTAGAAGACACGCACAAAAGCAAAACCTTAAGATGGGACAGGAGTGCTGGCTCCCTCAGCTCAGATCCCAGCCAGGACTGTTGCCCCTGATGTCAGAACTGGGCTGTGGTGTCTGCTCAGCTGCCCCTGGTCTGCTGGTGCTATCTGAGAGGGTGTGGAGGTGGACAGCTGGGGCAGAGGATGGAGGTGGGAGAGCATAGCCTCAGGGAATGGCCTGGGGTTCAGGGGTTAGCGACCCCTGCCAGGGTTCTGTTCACCTGCATACACAAGTTAGCCTGGTGCCTGTTCTGCTCCAGGTTTGCCCTTCTGCCCAGTCAGCGCCAAAGTCACACTCCAGGTATGCTTTGCAGTTGAGAAGACCAGTGAAAGCCCATGAGCGCTTCACCCCCTCCGACTGGCTCTAGGCCAGGTCTAGCAACGGGCAGCCTGCCTGTGCTGACTCCTTCCCACTCCTCACTCACACAATACTAAACTACAGCAGAGGAATAACGAAACACAAAATGACATCATGAAGAAATCAGGAGGAATGACCTCAAAGGACAAGGGATTTCAAGAAACCTGAAGAAGGCAAGAGGTGAATGCTGGAGTGATGACTGACAAATGTATAAGAGGAAGCCACAGCCTGGAATGAAGACACTGCCAGGGAGCTGGAGCTGCAGGGAGTGGGGTCCGTAGACGCTGGTGGGGCTCAGGATTCGAAATGACAGGTACCACAGAGGGCAGGGGAGCAAGCGGTGCTATAAACATGGGCATCACTGACAAGGGACCTATCCTTCCCCATCCTCCAACCACTGTCCAGCACAAGAGCTTGAAGCCAAGCCAAAAAAGGAGACTCATCTTTAAAGACATTGATTCCTGAGAAAATGCAGCCAGCAGTAGACTGAAGAGTACTTTAAGCTGACTTGGTGCTATATTCAGACCTTAACGGGGGAGGGGGTTGAAAAGCGAATTCCTGATCCCCCTCAAAAAGAAGGCAAAGTACCAGAATCTCCACCCACACAGGTGGCCCCAGTGTAACGTGAACCAAACAAGAAGCCCCACCCTGGTCACCTAGCCTGCTGACAGGATGGCAGACCTGCCCACAGTCTGAGGTAGTCAGATACCACCATCTTAAGAGGACTGCATGCCCAACGGATGTCCCTGGCCACCATACCCTAAACCAGCAAACCACTTCCAGCCAGCCCAGGTCTCCACACAAAGCCCACTCTTCCCAGCCAATCAACCTCACTAGAGAATGTCCTTTCCTCTGATGGAAAAGAATTCACTATCTTTCCGTTGTAAAAGCTCAACTCTCATTTTCTGCCCCAGAACCTCATCCCCAAGAACCTACTCGATCCTGCATTGAAAGTTTTCCTGCATAGCTATAAAACTTTTTGCCTTGTGTTCTATTATATTAATATCTTTGACCTCTAGTCATTTTTATTTAATGGCACACCTAAAGTTTTGGGAACCCTGGGCTAGGGTAGGTGATTAAGCTCCCACTTCATTCTCCTAAGTGGACAATATGCAATATAAGCATGTGCTCACATTTTTGAGAGAAGACTACATGTTTGAAGGTTTCCCATTGTCATATTTGTTGAATGAGATCATACCAGGTATAGGGCAGTGCGTGCACATGTGTGTGCGTGTCCTTTCATCACAGAGCCTTTTACCCGCAAACTCAATATGGAAGCCCAACACACAGACCTGCTAAGAAGGTGCTCAGATGAGAAATGAGGAGGAAACCAGTGCCCCATCTGCTCAGCTCCTGTTTCCTCCTCGTGGCCCAGCTGCTTTCTCAAACCAGATTTCTAGGAAACACAGTTAGCAACCCTGACACAAAACAACTAAAGACTAATTTACCTGTATGAGGGAAAAACACATTTATTTTGTAAAATACATAAAATAAAAAATGAGCAGTTATCCTTACCTGCACACTTGTAAACACTGACTGATGAAATCATAAGTAGATTCAGCCAGTTTCATTTCAGCAATTGTCTTCCTCATCCTCATCTACATTTAATGAGAGTTAACTGTGAGTCAGAGCTAAGCGACTGATGTATACACTATCAATCAACCCAAACAGCAAAACCATGAAGCCAGGATTGCTATTATCCACATTTTCACACGTTGAAGAATTTGACCAAGCTCTCATAGCTTGTGGTGGCAAGGGCCAAGGTGCAAAACCAGTTCTGGACTCCAAAAACCATGCATGCCCTTCACTACCATGTTTCACAAGGCCCCAAATAGGTGCTTTGTATTTTGTTTTTTCTGTATTTTCTAAGTGTTTTACTTGCATTAATCACTTTCATAATATTAAGGACATTTTAATTTGGAAGCCAAAAAAAAAAAAAAAAAGAAAAGAAATAGGTAGTAGGGGGAGAGTTGGTTTCTTAAGACCAAGAGGAACAGGCAAGGAAGGGATGCTGTAGGGCGGCCTCTCCAGCCTGGGGTCACCATGAAGATGGCCTCATTACAAAGGCAGAGCTCAGACAAAATTCTTCACTCCAACAGGGTCTGTGATGCTCGGTCAGCCAGTCAATCCCATCCTTGAGCTTCCTCCCTTCCTGGCAATTGATAACATTAGGAAAGCTTATTAGCCTTGATGTTACCCAACACTGTCATATAATTATACCGAGGCAAGAAATGGAGGGTGTATGAGAACCAAAACTCCTCATCTACCAAAACAAATCATGTCTAAAGTCGATGAATCAGCACATAGCAGTATATGCATATTATTTAGGAATGTGAATAGAAGTATTATCAAAATAGATAATTTAAAGCTGTTCTCTCTGGGGAAATATCAATGGGGGAAGGCTAAGCAGCTGGGACATAAGAGATTGCTGTATTTTTATAAGCATTTTAGCACTATTTGGCTTTTCAAATCAAGTGTCAATTTTTTTGGATTTGTTAAAACAAAGTAGTAATAATAAAACTTACCCTTCTTAGTGTAATCCTTTAGCTTAATGAACTTCAGTAGGCTCAGACAGAATGTGGTTTGATGTAGTTTGTGGAGCCAGGAGATCTGAGACACAGAAGATGGGAGGTGCCTGGTGTTGTGGAAGAGCCATGGGTCAGAAGACCTGGATTCTGACCTTGGCTCTGCTGCTCTGTGCTGTGTGGCCTTGGGAAAGGTGATTAACCACTCTGAGCCTCTCTACCCCTAAAGGCAGGCACTCAGACCCCATACAAACCAATGAGAGGATTAAATAACATAGATGCCAACCCAACAATGAAAACAAAGCTCATGGTGAGGATGCAAGGTATGGGGACCTGTGAGGCCTGCGTCAGGTGGGTGACAGCCATGGAAAGACAGAGCCCTAGATAGAAAGGAACAGACCTCTGGCCCCTCCACCAGGCCCTGAGCCCAAGCCCAAGGCTCCAGACATGAGCTAAACTCCCCTCACCTTCTCCATGCTGCTCCCAAGTTCCCTGAGACCAGGAAGTGTATTTTAGGCTTCTGTGAACTAGAGAGAGTCAAGTGTCCCAGACTGAAGTCTGCATCCCTCTGTGAGGCTCACCCAGACCCATGAGCTCATCTAACTGGCACAAAGTCTTTCCTCAATTCTGCCCAATTAAAAACAAAATCTGCAAGTTAATTGGCTGTATGGGACCCTCTTTAACAAAGTCCCTCCTCAATTTTGCTCAATTAAAAAAATATAAATAAAATAGCTTTAAATTACTTGGCCTTAGAAACAAACGTGGTAAAAAACCTTAGGCTCAAGAGAGAAACTCCAGGGTGGAATCTGGCTCACCACTAGGTCTAACTTTGCCACAGGTCTGGTCACAGCTGTCATTTTAGGACAAGCACATCCAGGCTCTCCAGAAACCAGGCCAGCCTGGGGCAATTTCTTCCAGGCTCTGAGCATTTAGAAGAGCCCACAGCTTTTGCTCACAGCTCAAGGACCAGGTGTTGACTGCCTGCTTGCCAAGGCTGCTTTTCCTCCCTCCTCTCCCTGGAATCATAGCCTGTACTGGCTTGGGGTTGGGGAGAGGTCTGGTAGGTTCATGCATCCCTGCCTCCCTCTTTCTTTCCCTCCATCACCTGTGACCAAAGACATCCACACCCCATCGAACAGCAGTATTCTTGCTGGTATGTCAGGCAGTGAAGAGGTAGAAGGATGCTTTGTGAAGCAGCCCTGCACACAGAGAACCCAAAACAAGACACCAGACCAGGCCCAAGGCACCTCCACCAATACTGACACACAGTGGGGATGCTAACGTAAAGTTTCCCAAAGGTCCCAAGCAATACAGACTAATGTCTGCACAGCCAGCACATGGGTGTAAACACACAGAGCTACAGATTCATTCCCCCCAAAATAAAATTTATTCTTTGGTGCTTCATACTTGGCAAGGGTTAATCATTATGTCCGTTCATACAATGATTAAATAAAATACATCTGGATCAGAGAAAACCTCAGAGACCAATTTTGATTCCATAAGCACAAAGTAAAGAACCTGAAACGGAGTGGGGATGCAGTAAAAGAGAAGTTAAGGGGAGTTAATTAGCCGGTGATTAAATGTCATTTTCCCTGAGTCAAGTAATTCTCATTTTATTCAAGTGCTCTGGAAGTGGTGAAGGTTTTTTTTGTTTTTTGTTTTTTTCTGTCATTTTAGGGAATTCTTTTTTTGTCCAACAAATAATTCTCAGTTGTCTGCTTTTAAAAGTACTGTGTAATTTCTAAATTACAATTTTTCAAAATCAGGCTGACACTTCCAACTTCCTCTGGCTGGGGTTTTCTGAATCATCCACAGAAAGATGGCTGCTCTGCGGAGAGCCTGCCTGGGAAACCGGCTTGTATATCCTGTGTCCCAAAGCATCCACTTCCTCAAAGGTGTAGCCAGGAGGCTCAGGATATGAAGCTAGGCACCTGCTCATTTCCTTGGGAGTAAAGCTGATGGTGTAAGTGGTCTGGCCTTCCACAGGGACATTTCCTCGAGGGCCAGACCAATGAGGCTTACAGCTTTTGGTATTGATAGGCGGGTGGGGCACATAGTGAGCCCGAGTGGTGGTCAGGCAGTCCAAGGGCTCGGTGGGAAAGTCCAGCTGGGGAATGGGCTTGACTGGCTCTGTGCGCATGCTGGACCACTGCTTGTAGTCATCCTTGGTGGTGGAAGAGCCTTCAAAGCGACCGCTTTTCCTAATCTGAGGTGCAGGTCGGCAGGACCGAGCTGGGACACCCTTAGGGTATGTGTAATGGGCCTGCACGGTTGTCAGAAGATCCATGCTGTCTTCAGGAGGGACATAGGTGATGGGAGCTTTGGAGAACATCTGGGGCGTTGGCCAAGCTTGGTACTTATCTCGAAACTCAGTGGTGTTAGAGAAAGGCATGTCTAGCCCAGGGGGCCTGGCTAGAGGTTTCAAGCTCTTAGCAGGCTCACCCATCAGGCCCCGATAGGATTGTTTATGAGTGGTAAGGCTTTCAAAGGGGATTTCACAGGGCCTGAACTTCTCTGCTTCGTGCACAAAGCGCTTCTCCACGGGGTGGGCCACGTAGCTCATCTTGTAGTTAGTCACATCCTCCAAGGGGATGTTACAGAGCTTTGGCATGGCCAGAGGTTTACAGCTCACAGTCTTCACAAGGCCTTTTATGGGGTAATCGTCCTGGTGTGTGGTCCTATTATCAAACCTGACTGATGCTGGCTGGTATTTGTGTTCCAGACGAAGTGGCTGTCGCCTTGGTTGCTTCCAAGGCAAATAATCAGCTGAAATTAAAGCAGAAGAGGTAATTAATAATAAATCAAGTCAACCAACTTGCATATATTCTACAAAGCCCGAAGGTCATAAGCCAGTCTCCAATGAAGTAGTCTTTGAGACAAAGGAACGACAGAGCACATCCCTGCTACCACTTGATATAGTGGGATAGGCAATTCACAACCCACCACTGGCAGGCCACCAGCCAGACGAACCAGGCCTACCTGGTCATCTGTGGGGTGACAGCCCACTGTGTCCCTGTAATCCTCACATCTAATCCACATATATCAAATATGCTACTCCAAAGGAATAGGGCATTGTATTGGCTGGTGAGAGAAAAGTGGCTGCCACTTGTATAAAACTTATTACATAACAGGCAGTGTTCTAAGTGCTTTATATATCAACTCACTTAATCTTCAGACTGTCCTAATAAGGTCGGTACTGTCAATGCCAGTTTTATAGATGCAGAAACAGATGCACAGAAAATGAGAGAATTTGTCCCAGCTCACTTGGCTAGAAGTGAAAAAGCACAAATGCAAATTCAGACCCAGAGCCCACGATCTGACCCACTCTACTCTCTGGTTCTAACAATTAAGGAATACCAACTACATGTCAGTCAATTGTGCTCAAGTCTTTCCATACATGATCTTGTTTCATCTTCACAATAACCCTTTGTGATGGGCATGATTCTTTCCATTCTACAGATTTCTAAAACAAGGCTCAGAGGAGCTAAGAAACTTGCCCGAAAGTCACATGGCTAGCGAGTTAAGTTGGAATTTAAACCGTATTGTTGACTCCAAAGCCATGTTCTTCTGATACCTCATATCACACACTTAAGGGCATTATATTTCCAGATAGAGTAAAGGTGAAAGAAAAAAATAATCAAAGGGAAGATTTGCAGGAGGAAAACAACTTCAGAATGTTTGAAGAATGAAAAGAATTGGCCATTCTAGATGTCCATCTCAAGAGGAACCTCTGCTGTGGGGCTAGAACTGCCAACACAAAGGGAGGCCTGGACTCCAAGGAAATATGCAGTAGAGATGGCCTCCAGGCATCTTGAGGACCAGACACTGTCTTCAGACAGCACTGTAAGCCTTTGAAACTGACTTTATCACACAGACCCTCAGGGCCAGCACTAAGACTGAACGTCTAGGTGAGAAAAATGGGACGACAAACCATGTGATTCAACTGCCTTGGCACTGCTGGCATTCTTTCAAAATACTTGACTGACATCCAAGACCTAGGTTGCCCCACTGGGCCCCATAAATTACCAGGTTTAAAGTAGCGCTAGTGAGCCCTCTAAATCTATAGGGAATTCTCTTGCTTACCACTTTACAAAAGGTTAGAAAAAAAAGCAGCTTCCGAGGAGCCTTAGGTATATACACCAACACTAGTGGAGTCCGCAGGCACAATTTGTAACAGCTTTATTGAAGTCTAATTTGCATAATAAAACGTACCATCTTAAGTACACAATTTAGTGACTTTTATAGAGTTGTATATCCATCACCAAAATCCAGTTATAGAGTATTTCCATCATGCCAAACATACCAATTATCTTCATTTGTAGTCAGTCTTTACTCCCATCTCCAACCCCAGGCAACTATTAATTTGCTCTTGGTCTCTGTATCTGTGCATTTTCTGGACTTCTCATATAAATAGAATCACCCAATGTAGCATTTTGCATCTGGCTTCTTTCACTTAGTGAATGTAATTGAGGTTCATCCATATTGTAGCTTATATCAGTAGTTTACACCTTTTTATTGTTGAATATTACATGATACCAAATTTTGTTTATCCATTCACCAATTGATGGACACTTTGAGTTGTTTCTACTCTTTGGCTATTATAAAAAAATTCTGCTATGAGCCTTTGTCAAGAAGTGTGTGAACATATATTTTCATTTCTCTTGCGTAGATACTAAACTGAAATTTCTAGGTTGTATGGAAAAATCTTATCTTTAGCTTTTTTTAAAAGATACTGCCAAATGTTCTCAAAGTGAAGAAGTAGATGTGCCATTTTACATCCCACCAGCAATGTATGAACATTCTCACTTCTCCAGGTCCTCATCAACACTTGTTACCATCTGTGTTTTTAAATTATTGTAGACATTCCAATGGGTACTTAGTAGTATCTTGCAGTATCATTTACATTTCTCTAATGACTAATGATGTTGAGTATCTCTGCATGTGCTTGTTAGCTCCTCATGTGCTTTCATTGGTAAAATATTGAAATATTTTGCCCATTTTAAAATTAGATTGTCTTATCGAGTTTGCATATTCTTTACATATTCTAAATACAAATCTTACACCAGGTATGTGATTTACAAATATTTTTTCCAAGTCTATCACTTCTCTTTTCATTTTCTTATTATTTTAACAAAACACTCACCTGACACCTGACCCTTTTCATTTTCTTAATGGTTTCTAAGTGCCCAAAGGTTTTGAATTTCAATAAAGTCCCATATATAATATCTTTAATAAATCATGCTTTTGATGCCATATCTAAATTATTTGCCTGTCCCAAGATATCATAGATTTTTCTCCCATGTTTTACTTTGAAACATTTATAGTTTTAGCTATTACATTTAGGTTTCTGACTCTTTTGAGTTTGGATGAGGTAATTTCATCTTTTTGCATGTGGATATCCAACTGTCCCAGCACCATTCATCAAAAAGACTATCCTCTCCCACACTGAAGTGCCTAAGCACCATTGTGAAAAGTCAGTCACAATAGGCACAAAGGCTTATTTCTGTACTCTCAGCTTAGTTGCATTGGTCATTTTACTTGTCTTTATGTCAGTATAACTGTCTCAATTGCTGTAGCTTTATAGTACAGTTTTATAATCAGGAAGTTTAAGTTTTTCAACTTAGTTCTTATTTTTCAAAAATACTATCACCTATTCCAGTTTATTCTGATTTCATACATAAAACCTAAAATTACTTTGCCAAGTTCTAAAAAGGAAAAGGAGTCTGCTGGGATTTTGATAGGAACCGCACTGAATCTACAGATCAACTTGGGACAACCCTACCTTAATAGTACTGAATCTTCCAATCCATGAACACAGAATGTCCACCATTTTTGTTCAGATTTTAATTTCTCCCAGCAATGTTTGGTAGCTTTCAGCATACAAGACTTGCACTTGTTTTTTTACATTTTATTCCAAGTATTTTATTAATTTTGAGGCTATTAGAAAGAGAACAGTTTTCTTGACTCCACTTTGACTGTCCATGCTAGAATATAGAAACAATTGATTTTTATATATTGTTCAGTACTGACATCTTGCTGAACTCATTTATTAGTTCTGGTAATTTTTGTGGATTCCTTTGGGTTATCTGCACACAGGATCATGTTGTCTGAGAATAAAGACAGCTTCGCATTTTCCTTTCGAACCTGGATACATTTACTTGTCCGCTTGCTTTTCTTACATTATTGCACTAGCTAGAACCTACAATACAGTATTGAGTTGAAGTGGTGAAAGCTGACATCCTAGCCCTTGTTCTCAATCGGGGGAAGCCATTTACTCTTTCACATTAAGTATGATGTTTTGCAAGTACAGATTTTTTTGTGGATGCCCTTTATCAAGCTGAGGAAGTTTCCTTCTAGTCCTAAGCTTGTTGAGAGCTTTTATGAATGTTGAACTTTGTCAAATGCTTTCTCTCGACCAAGTGGCTTTTTTCTGTTACTTTATTAATGGGGTATATTAATTGGTTTTCTGATGTTACACCAACTTTAAATTCCCAGAATCCCATAGTTTTGTAAATATTGAGTCTGTAACTGTCTTTTAAAAGAAAAATTACCTTTTTAATGATTTAAGAAGAAAACAAATAAAAGTATATATTTAATACCTAATTACATTTACCAGTATGCTTTATTACTTTTTATAATATACTTTATTACTTTTGTGCTGCCATCTGGTATCATTCCCTTTTAGCCTGAAGGATTTCTTTTAGTACTTCTTGCAAGCTAGGTAGCTGTAACTTATCTCCATCTTTATCTGGGAATGTATTTTGCCTTCATTATTGAATCATAGTATCATTAGATATGAAATTCTTGGAGGATAGACTTTTTTCTTTCAGTACTGTGAATATGCAACCAACTGCCTTCAGTCCTCCATTGTGTCTGAAGAGAATTTAGCCATTAATAATGTCATTTTGGGGCCAGGCGCAGTGGCTCACGCCTGTAATCCCAGCACTTTGGGAGACTGAGGCGGGCAGATCACGAGGTCAGGAGATCCAGACCCTCCTGGCTAACATGGTGAAACCCCATCTCTACTAAAAATACAAAAAATTAGCTGGACGTTGTGGCGAGCGCCTGTAGTCCCAGCTACTCAGGAGGCTGAGGCAGGAGAATGGCGTGAACCTGGGAGGTGGAGCTTGCAGTGAGCCGAGATTGCACCACTGCACTCCAGCCTGGGAGACAGAGCAAGAATCCAGCTCAAAAATAATAATGTCATTTTTCTGTACGTGATGAGTCATCTTTTTGCCTCTTTCCAAATCTTTGTTTTTGGCTTTCAATAAATTTGACTACGTTGTGAATAGATGTGGATCTCTTTGTACTTATTCTATTTGGGTTGTGCCATTTGAATGTATTAATACACATTTTTCATAAAATTTGGCAACTTTCAGCAATTAATCTAACATTTTTCTGCCCCCTTCTTCTCCTTTTCGGGCCATCATTATGAGTATGTTAGTACACTTTATGGTATTCCATGAGTCTGAGTTTGGACTTTTCCCTTAATTTTTTTCTGTTCTTCAGATTGGGAATCCCTATTGAACTATCCACATTTTTGCTGATTTTTATACCAGTTCAAATCTGCTGTTGAGCCCCTCTAATCAATTTTTTATTTTAGTTATTGCCCTTCCAACTCCAGAGTTTTCATTTGGTTCTTTAATATTTCCCGTTACTGATATTCTCTATTTGATGAGCAATTGTTGTCATACTTTTATTTATTTAAACATGCTTTCCTGTTATTCTTTGAACATATTTATAATAGCTACTTTGAAATATTTGTC